TTGCAAAACACCCACAGTAGAAGGAAGCCAATAGCTGTGTCTGCAGAGGGTTTTACGTGGAGGCATGCTTCAGTACTTCCTTGGAGGCTGCACATCCCATTGCCCCCAGCCAGCATGGTGTGACAAGCACCAGTGGAGAGCATCACGCAGTGCTCTTTTCCAAGGTCCTGCCTTGCAGCCTGAGCCAAAACCAGCTGCCTCGGACCTATCACTTCCACTGGGAAACCACAACCTGCAGCAGGGACCTCCCAGGGAGTGCTCTGGGCTTTCCCCAGCCTTCCCGGAAAAAGGAAGAGGCAAATTCAGAGCCTGCACTGAGCACTACGGAGTTGACTCAGCAGCAGCATCCACGCCGCAGTGTCCATTGAGCAAGGGGATCTGCGCATGCTTTTCTCCACCCCAAGTCCATTTTAAATCAATTTATCACTCCACCAGCAGCTTTCTTTGCTGGAGCAGGGCACAGGGTTCAGATGCTGCTAGCTGCAAGCCTGTGCAACAGTTGTGCCTTGCAACCTGTGAACACAAGCCCAACAAAAGAGCCGAGAAAAGGCCTACAAAATCGCCCCCCAAACCTTTTCCTACAGCTGCTCTATGCATGGAAGGAAGGTTGCAAAGTCTAATACAGGGCACAGCTTGAGTAGCAAGAAAAAGACTTACATCACAGGACAGGGATTTTGGCTAGAGTCTTGCTAAACCCAGCCGCACTGAAATATAAGTGTGATTTAATAAGGTGAAAGTTCTCTTACAGACAATGCCTGAGCTCTGATTGCTGCAGAAGAATTTAAAATGAAAACTTTTGGTTAATAAATTGGCTCTTGATTCCACATCCAGTGATATTCTGTAGCAAAAGCTCTTCTAATTAATACACTGATAGTCTTTCTCAAGAGACACTTTCCCCTGATAGTCTGAAATAACCTCTTCAAACATGCAGTGACTTTCAGAGTGATAATTTATGAAAGACTACCAATTTTAGTTAACAGAATTTCCCCCTTTAAAAAAAGCTTTTTATAAGAGGGGAAAAGACACAGAAGTACATTTGGTACATGATGCGACAATTCTATATACCTTAGATTCTAGCACATTCCCTTGTGCCCAAAGACAAATACATCCATTAAATAAATTTGATTATAGCCTTCCTCCCCCTGCCAGCAATAATATCTGCAACAAGGCTCATTTAACCTAGAAAGGGAAAATTTTCATATTTTCTTAATTTTCAGTCCTTGTTATCTTCTTTCCCTGCAAAGTCTAATAGCCTCTTTCATAACAATCCAGAGAGTCTTGGGGAAATACTCTCACCTAATTAAGCCTTGTTTTTTCTAATAATTCTGCAGAATACTTGACAGAAAACACTCCAGCTCTCATTTTTAGTGTAATACAACAGAGGATCTACAACTGATAACAAAAACCCAAAAGAAACCCTGTGCATGGTTATTCATTATTCAATGTATGCAGCCTCCATGAGCTGTAAGGGGGTGAAAGCTGCCCGATACCACACGCCAGCATTTTGTAGCTCAATATTTTGAATGATCTCAAGGAAATCAGCTGTGCCATAGTGTGCTTACCCAGAGAGAATAAAAATATTTCCCAACACTTCCCTTTTCTGACTCGGGTAGGAAACTGCCACAAGAGCATGCTGGCACGCAGCCCACCTGAGTCAGAGGGTAGGAGCTGCAAGCATGAGAAAGCGTACATATCAACCAACTTCTCAAGCTCAAAACCGCTCCAAGCTTTTATCAACTCAAATACCCATTCCAATGTTTAAAATCCACTAACCTTGCTCGTATGTATTTATTTAAGTATATACTTACTGTAACCAGCTTTTGACAGCAGTGTAACCTGAGAAAGAGCCCCACACCTTAGCTCTGCCTGATCAGCACATTTGCAACACCCCCAGCCCCATCCCAAGGGATGGCAAGGCCAGGGAGCAGAGGCTGCTCACCTCCCCACCACCTACCACTGCTGGGGGGGGAAAAAAAAACCAAACCTTTTTATTAATTTTTTTTTTTTTTTTTTTTACATTTGGTAAAAGACCTTCACCATCCCAGGCTCGATCCCCAGGAAAGCCCTGGGCTTGCCCTGGCTGTATATATACCCTACAGCACGTGATGGGATTTACAGGGAGGCTGATGGGGAATGAGTAGCACCTGCAGGCACCCCGCAGGATGCGACCCATTGCATTTGCTTTGCAAAACACCCGTTAGCAAGGATCACTTGCACTTGTGCTTAATGGCCTTTACAGTCCTAAACCAATGTTCAAATTCCACTGTCTGAGTTGCTCCCTCAAAAATTGCTTCCTGGCTCCTTCTTTTGTAATCTGGGGTTAGCGAAGGAGTGGACAAAGAACCATCATGTTTTCCACACAGTCGCACATCTCCATCTCTTTGTTGTTCACCCTCATCAGGCCTGGCTGCTGCTGGGTCATGCCAGCCCACAGCTCCCCAATACATGGGGCACCCCGGGACCAGGCTCACCTTCCCCGTCCTGCCCCTCGGAGCGTGGGTCATCCTCACTGCTGGTGTGAGGAAGACTGAGTCCCAAAGGATCTCTGCATCCGAAAGCTAGACATGATGGCGAGACCCACAGTGGTTCACACTCCCCTGGAAAGGCTCATCTAGGAGAAGAAAATGCATAATTGAGGTTTTTATAAATAAAATACAACAGACGATGCACAGCAGGAGACATACCTGTGAATCTTGACAACATCTTGCCATGGGGGACCTCCCGCCCTGTCCACACTTGTGGGACAAGTCAAGGGCTCTCAGAGGAGCTCTTGGAATCAATGTCACCTTCCCCATATTCTCCTGGGGGGTAGAGAGGAGCAAGGAGGAGTTAAAAAATAAAGTGTAATTGCTGGCTAAGGCCAGCCAGTGGGCAGAAAGCAAAGTGTAAAGAAGAAGGCGAAAGCATATCAGGGCCACGGGTGCAGGCGGAGGGGCCGGCTCGTCTGCCAGGCTCTCCTCCAGGTCTTCCTGCTGCCGGGCAAGCTCGGTGATGTGCTGTACGCTGGAGGACTTGGCAGCCTTATTAGCACTGACCAAGCAATGATCTTCCCACCTCACTTCTCAAAGGAGCAGTAGTCTCTCTCCTACCCTCCAAATTTCAGCCCAGGCAGTTAAATTTTGATAGTGATAACAGGCATCAGAAAAAAAATCCAATTGTGCAAAGTAATGTTGGTATGAGGAGGTGGGACTGGCCATACCCTGGTGTAGGTGTATGCCCACAGGCACTTGCTGAAACATCTCTTCATCTCCTCCTGGCACCAGACAAGCCTTCACCAAGTTTTGCAAAGCTCAGACAAGCGCAGCCTCCCTCCCTCCTTCAGGCTTAAAAGGACACGTGCCATGGAGGGATCTGCTGGTGGCCATGCCAGCAGCCGTGGGTTGCCTGAAGAAACACCACTGAGGGGAAGTGGGCTGCAGACATGCAAAACTCACACATGCTTCTGCATCACCAGTTTGCAACAAATGCAGCCTCAGCCCAGGCTGAGGCACCACAAAAACACTCTTGGAAGCAGGAACCAGGTTTTGCCTAACCCGATCCTCCTGAGACAGCTTCTCTGGAAACCTGAAAAGAAGGATGTGCAAGATAATATAAAAATGCTTAAATGCAAAGCACGGTTGTGTCACCCAGCTGGCTCCAGTCCTCCCAGCAGAAAATGATGTCGATAGCATTTACTTTCTGCATCAGTAGACAGAAGATGGGTCTCCCCGGGGCAGTTGCTGTTGCATCACTTCGTGCTTCTCAGCACATTTGGAGCTCCAGCGCTTTCCAACAAACCCAAGATGCATGGGAAGGTGCTACTCACCACCGCCTCATTTTCGGGGCCGCCTCCTCGAGGCAAGCACCGCTGCTGGGCACCACGCCTGGCCTCGGTGTGCCCTCCAGCACATCGGACGTGCTGGGACCGGCCTGGGCAGAGCTGCAGCTCGCCCCGCTGGCAGCAGGCAGGGCACCGAGGACCACACCTCCCGGAGACCCCCTCCCCTGGCTGGGTAGTCAGCCATCAGGCCGTAAGATGAAGAGCAGGAGGAGAACGATGGGAAAAGGAGCCCTGCCCAACCTGCCTGCCCCACGTGTGCACCCTCTGCCACGGCCACTGCTTTTCACGCGTGGCGGGAGTAGCCCAGCCCATTACCCCGTGGCATGGAATAGCCGTTAATTAATATATTTCGGCTTATCTTTGATCACACAGATCTCAAGGTCACATTTCTGAGATGTTTCCAGCTTTGAGATAGACCATTTTTAACACGCAGTTGTTGCTACTCACTTTGTGAAGAGGATTAAAGTTGTATTCCCGGTTGGTGCCGCCCAGGATTGTCTCCTGGTTGTAGGAGGGATTAGCTGCTCTACAGCCGCGGATACACCAGGGTAAGGGGGTTTGATTCTGAAATGTGTTTGAACTGCCTGTCCGCACCACTCACCTGAGCTCACTAGGGGAGAGTGTGTTGTGTCGGATCAACCCGACCGGTTTCTTACAACTGGCTCCCAGGGAAAGTTTCGTTCTGCTGCCCAGCAGCGCCAGCGGGGCCGGTTCTGCCTCTGGCCTTGCCTCGCTGGCCGTCTTCTCCGGCTTTGGGTGCCACACGGGGCACGCTGTGTCCCTGCGTGGGTGCCGAGGAGCCGCGGGGAGCACCAGAGGGAGCTGGCTGCCGGGCGCTCCCAAACCCGCTCCGCTCCCGATTTTCAGAGCCGTGGCGAGCGAGGTTCAGCCCCGACACACCCATGGGCTGGTTTGGGGTCCCGGCTGTCTCGGGGTGGGGGCTTGGCCTCCTCCCAGACCCAGTGGGTGTATGAGGAGTGGCTGTTAGATGGGAAGAAACTTTTAATGTTTCTATCCCCGTGGCCATCCATGACCCCAGTGGAAGAAGCCTGGCTGGCAGGCTGGACCCCCGGGGGGGCACGCACGGCCCCAACCCACCCCGGGCTCCACCGCAGGCACGGGGCCCCGCTTTGCCCTCCCACATCACCCGCAACACCGACACTGCAGGGATCTCCACCAGCCAGAGACAAGGGTTTACTAAAAGTGCTGTATTTACAGGCCAGTATTAATTTGTGCTCTTGTTATTTACAATTTATTTACAATTAATCCTTATAGTCACTGACAGTTGAATGTGGCAGTTAGACAGAACTTTACAGAGGACTGGCAAGGCGGAGCAGCTGGAGTTTCGCTTTTTTTCATCCCTGCCCAGGGAAGGGCTTTAGTGATTTTTCTTCCCCCCCCGGACCACAAAGGCATTGCCTGTTAATCAGTAATCATGGGAGTAGAGGTGACTCACGCTGCCGCAGCCATGGAGGGAAAACTGCTGCACTCCTGACTTCATGTAAAGTGTTTCCAGGGCTGACGGCTGGTTTCCCCGCACGTGTGCCCAGCCGGAGCCCGGCAGCACAAACCCCCCGGCACGGCCCAGCCCCCATCACTGTGGCTCTGCCGGACACGGTGCGTGTGGCAGACGGGTTGTGCGGGGATGCGGATGCCGCTCGTCCTCCTGTCTCAGAGCTGAGCTGAGCACAGATCAGAGACCACCCCGGGGCCGCAGGGTGCCAGGCTGTCAGGGACACGGGAGGATTTTGCGTCACTTACAGGTCACCACTGTCCCTCCCGGGAGGATGGCAGGATCAGGAGGAATGATCCTGGGGAAGGAGCCTCCAGCAGCCTCCCCCACCAGCTGCCGTCGAGCCAAGCCTTCGCTGATGGGCTGCAAAGATGCACAGAGGAAGACGGGCATCACCCTCCTCAACCGTGCGAGGGGGCTCCTGACAGCCCTGCCAGATGTGGCTGGGGGCTGGGTGAAGCTCCTCCACAGACCACCCGTGACTGCCCTCCCACCTTCACCAGCAGCAAATGGGACTTGTCCTGGTGGCAGCCAGGGACTGACTGAGGGGCTGAGTCAGCCCCTGATCTGCGAAGACAGCTTTGCCTGGGCATAGGTTGGTTTGAGAGACAGGCTTTTCCCCTAGATATTTGCTCTGATCTGCCTCTCTTCCACAGATTTGGTCGGGTTCAGACCGAGTTTGCCACAGAATACTAACACGGGGTCAGCAAGTGGCCGGCTATTCCCTTTTCAGACGGGTTTGCAGACCAGCTGCCAGGGAGGCGTCTTACAAAGGGACTTTTGGCTTGCTCCCGCGGATCCCTGGTTTTCAAGCCATGCAGAGGACAACGATGTTGTTCATGCCCCAGGACTGCCAGCCCTGGCCAAAGCACCCCAGAAGCCCTGCACGAGCGTGGGTCCCACTGTCACTGCAGTCTGGGCTCCCCTGGGACCACACATCCCCTGGGACGTGCCTTCCCTGCTCAGGGTGTGATGGCAGACGGCTGCTTCCTCTGCTCCTGCCTCATCTTCAGAGCCAGCATCGCCTGGCGGTACAAGTCTGGGGAGGAAGGGAAGTGGTCAGGCAGAGCGAGGGCTGCAAGGACACGCTGAGCTCCAGCACGGAGCACTCGTGAGGCCTACCCACACCCCACCTGAGTCCCCAAAACCTGTAGGGTTGGGGAGGGGTGGGTGGGAACCTGTTGCTGGGGCTGTGGGGTGTGTAATCGGGCTGCTGCAGGGGTGTGCTGGGACATGGGTGCGAGCTGGGAGCATCCCTGGAGCGGGGCTGGGGAGCGGGGTAACGCTTTGCCTAATCGCAGCCAAACTGGGAGAAGGCATCCAGCCTGCCCCGCCGTCGTGCGGCGGCCCATCTGCCTCCCCAAAAGCCCCCACCTTGCCTTGCAGCAGCACTTGTTTGTGCCCGAGTCCCCACACCAAGCACCCCATGGCCAAGGGCTCCTGCACAGCTCACGCCCCGCTGCCAGCAGGCCAGACCCTCTGACACTTTTCAGCAAAATCTCTCCTGGGAAATACCAACCAAAGGTGCTTGAGACCTCCTCACGCTGCTGCTCCACAACAGGCTCCTGCGACTTGATTTTATTCTTGATTTTCTTCTTCTTTTTCTTTTTCATGCCCTGCCCTGGATGGAGAAATACAAAATTTCAGGCACCGCATCTGAGCAGGGATGCCTTTGTCACCAAACCAGCTGAGAGGACTGCTGCTGGCGGATCCGCAGTCCTCTACCACCTCCGTGCGCCAGCCCCTGCGGAGATGCTCAGAGGTGTCTCTCCTCTCCCCCGGCCAGACTCCCACGACCCCGCTCTGCGCCCAGCTCACCTGCAACCAAAGCTAACCGAACGGCAGGACCGGTGGTCTGGCACATCGCCACATTGCTGGGTCCCCAGACCACCCCGTAGTGTGACTCCAGGGTTCCCGGTGGCGCCAGCAGCTCCCCGCAGCCCCCTCTCACCTGGGTGGGGGGTGTCTGTCCCGGCAGGCGTGGGCTCCTCCTGCCCGACCCTGTTGAGGGGCAGCAGCCCCCCAGCAGCCCCGGCTCGGTTGTCACCCCCTCCTCCTGGTCCCTCCGGCTCCTCGGCTGGGCTTGGCTGCCCTGAGCCCTTCTTCCTCACCTTCACCTTCCTCTTCCTCCTCCCGGGGCCCTTTGTGCCCTCCTCCTGGGCAGGGGAAGGGGGATGAAGGGAAGGTGGCGGGACCCTCCTTCCCCCCCAGCCCCATCCCATGGGGGGTATCTTCTCTCACCAGGGGCAGGAGGCGGCGGAGGGGCCGCAGTGGCCGGTTCTCCTCCGTCTTCCCCGTGCCATCTTGGGCACCCTCCCCGGGGGGCGGCGGGTCCCTGGCGGGGCGAGAGCATGGAGGGGATGGGGGTGAGCCCCGAGGGGAGGCAGGGGTGGGGGGGCAGAGGGGGGACAGGGACACGCACCCACCTGCGGGTGGGTGTCCGGGCACGGGCAGCCCGCGGGCCGGGGTCTGGCGGCGGAGCGGCGGCCGGGGCGGTGCGGAGGAGCCAGCGCAGCCCTTGCAGGGTGGCTCGGGGGGTGCCCCGCTTGGCGGCACAGGGCTCCTGCGTGCCGAGGGGCAGGGGTCAGCCCCGGCGGGGAGCGGGGAGGAGCGGGGAGGGACGGGGCAGCCCCGCACTCACGATGCGGCAGGGCGAGCGGTTCGCGTTGACCAGCCGCTCCAAGGACAGGCGCTCGATCAGCTCGCAGGGCAGCAGGGCGGCCGCCACGTCTTGCTTGTTGGCCAGCCTAGGGCACGGGGAGAGCGGAGCGCGGCCGTCACCCCGGCCCCTGGGCGCCTCGCCGCACCACGGCGGGGCAGGCTGGATGCCTTCTCCCAGCTTGGCTGCGATTAGGCAAAGCGTTACCCCGCTCCCCAGCCCCGCTCCAGGGATGCTCCCAGCTCGCACCCGTGTCCCAGCACACCTCTGCAGCAGCCCGATTACACACCCCACAGCCCCAGCAACAGGTTCCCACCCACCCCTCCCAAACCCTACAGGTCACATCCTTACAGCAAGATTGGCTTCCCGGAGACGTCGGGATGGCTCAGGACACGGCTCAGGACCTTGCGGGCCTCCTCTATCCGCGCCAGGTCACTGGAGTCCAGGACGAAGAGGAGCCCGTGGGCCCCGCTGTAGTGGCTGCGCCAGGCGCTGCGGGAGCGCTGGCCCCCCGGCAGATCCACCAGTGTCACCTCGAACCTGTCCACCCGCAGGCGGGTCTGGCCGGGCTGCGCCACGGGCAGCACCTCGCCGGCCAGCGCTGCGTGGGGGAGAGGGCAGAGAGCTGGAGCAGTGGTACCCGGGAGCATCCCTGCTGCATCTGCCTCCTCCTCCCCCGGCCACATCCCCGCTCCCAGGGCTGCCCCGGGGCACGGCCAGAGCCCCACACGCCCCCCCCCCCCCCCCCCCCCCAACACAGCAGCTCTATTTCAAGGGTCTCGGTCCTTCAGGGCTCGGGGATTTGGTTACAAAGGACCATAAAGCTGCTGCCTCCAGCCGAGGCCAGTGCCGGGGCTGTGCTGCTCCTCACCTCTCTCTATGTCCATGATGACGGAGGTTTTCCCCGCATTGTCCAGCCCCACGACGAGGATGGTCACCTTCCTGGGGAGTGGCAACAGCGGGTGAGCACCCCAGAGAAAGGCTGTGCTCCCTGGGGAGCGGTGACCGCTGCTGGCCCCGGGGCTCCTGGGCAAGGGGCTCCCTCTGCACGGTGTCCATGCCTTGGCCAGGAGAGGAGCAGGACGGTGCCGCAGGCTCGGGCTGAGCGAGGGCAGGGACAGCCCCCGGTGCTCGGGAGATGGTGAGGATGGAGGCACCCGGAGCCAGCCCAGCACAGCGGGAACAACCACACTGCGGGGCCTTCAATGTGCTTCCCACAGCAAGGATTTCTTTTCACACCGCATAGGATTAAGCAATGACATGCACAGGCCAAAAAGGTTGTTCCTTACATGCAAACAGTTAATGATTGCTCTTGGTGTCCTTCCTTGTCAGTGAGTTATAGGTATACACAGCTAGGGAGAGGTAGCAAGGACATTTTACAATCTTCTGCCTGGACTCAGGGGGTTTTTCCTGTTGCTAAACAGTCCTATTTGGTCTCCAGTGACGTGCTCCACCAGAGCAGAATGTTTTCCCTGTGGCTGACAAGCCACAGTAATCATTCCCAGTGTTGTTTTCTTCCTTAACCATACAGCCCAGGCTGCGTGGGCAGCGCGGCTCCACCTCCGGCATTACGGCAACGCGTCCTCGCTGACGGGAGAGGGCCAGAACCCCCCTCCCCACCCGCAGCGTCCGCCCCGGGCCGGTGCAGTGCCATCCCCAAGGGATTAACCCGGGTCTCCCAACACACGCAAACACTGCAGGTGGTTCAGTTCATCCTCCCCAGCTTCCTCGGGGAGCTGCTGCCTTTGCGCAGGGGGAATCCTGCTGGGAGCGTTCCCGCGTGCGCACCCCTGCCCGCTGGAGGGGCGGATGGGACTCACGCCCACCTCGCTCCGCGGTTTGGGGACGGTTCGTGCCACGGGCCCCGGCTCTCGTAGTGTTCCCGCAGCGCTGTAAACGCGTGGGTAAATGTCGTGCCCCCTGGGGACCCCCGAGGGACGGGCACGGGGACCTACCTGATGGGCTCCTGTATGGCCTGCAGCCACGACCAGCAGTGGGAAAAGAGGTGGAACATGCTCGGCAGCCCTGGGTGGAGGGATGGCTTCTCTTCGGCACCTACGAAGAGAGCAGCCCGGCCCGTCCCTGTGCTTCGTCCTCCTGCCTGTGCCTTCTCCCCAGGGCGAGGAGCATCCCCACTCATGGTGGGGAGCTGCTGCCTCCAGCCCGGTGCCCACAAGCCAAACCTGGGGACGAACCCCAGCCCCCTGGGCAATACCCCACGGGCACGGACCCCCCAGCCGGACCCTGCCCCGACAGCCCCTTCTTGCATCGCCGGAGTGCCAGTCAGCCCCTCACCCTCTCGTCCCCGCCGCGCCGCCCCTGCTCACACCCCCTTTTCCTAGCAGCTGCTTAAATCTAATCGGGATTTAAATTATTTACTCCTCGCAGCCTCCTTAATCCTGGTGGGTCGGCCCCGGCCGGTGGCTGCTGGGACATGGAGTGCTGGGGGGCAGCCCGCTGTGCGGGGCAGCGCGGCAGGGCACTGCATTGCCCACCCGGCTGCACCCCTGCGGCGCTGGGCAACCTCATACCTCCGGCGCTGGTTTAAATGGCTCGTGGTGGGGACATCGCCTGACAGCCCACGTGGGGTTTCCAGCCGAATTGGTGTCTCCTCTTAACGAGCGGCTCCTTGCTGCCTAAGCCCTTGTGTGGATTTTTCCCTGCGTGACGTGCACGGCTCTGCTGCCCACAGGGCGGAGGGACATCACCGCTCACTGTGTGTATTTCATGCCCTAACGAGGCACCCACTGAGCAGCAGCAGGTCCTGTGCTGCTCGGAATAGAAACACCAACCAGCCTGAGCAGGCGCCTGGCTGGGAGCAGGGAGGCAGGGGGGACTCTCGGTCAATGGGGCAGGGAACAGAGCCAAAAGAGCCCCAACTCCTTGATCTGCAACCCTGAAGCTCTTATCTTGCTCCTCAGGTTTCCTGCTGCTTTTGCCAGCGAGGGTTGCCCTCCTTGGCACGCTGCTGCTGCTGTGCGTGGAGGAGAAGAGGCTGCACGGGCATGTCTGAGCCGCAGGGGCTTTGGGTGTGGGAGGGAAGGACATGAGACCCTCCAAAAGCCACACTGGGGAGCAAACAGGGATCCCGCGGGCTCACATCGGTCCATGCTAAACGTCCAGCACCAGCAACACTACCTTGCTCAGCAGAGTCCCAGCCATGAGCCAAGGATGCTGAGATGCTGCCAGGCATCCCACAGCTCCGGGATGGCCCCAGGGGTGCAAGCCCAAGCTGGGCACGGCCCCCCTGTCCAGCCCCACACATTACTGGGAAGCTCGTCCCTCTCCCCTGGGCAAGGGAGCTGCCCCGGAGCTGTGCCGTGAGCAAGGAGCCGCGTGTGGTTAATGATTGATGGAGGAAGTTTCCGTACCCATATCACAGCCGCAGGCAACAATATTTGGGGTGACTGTTCCCCCCATGCTGCTGTTGGTGGGGCAGTGGCTGCACCTCAGCTGCCTGAGCCTGGTGCAGGGACAGAGCCCTGTCCCCAGCCTGATGGCTTTCCCTGGTCTCTCCCGTGCCAGCAGCCCACAGGACCAGTGGCAGCGCCAGGTTTGCAGGCAGCAAGGGCCTGGGAAGCCTTTTGTGAAATTAGCTGTACCAGGGCCGAAATGACTTGCTGGAAGCATCAGCACCTGCCTCTGTGCCTCGGGGTGGCACTGCCAGAGGATGGCCGGGAAGGGGACGGGAAGAGGCACGACGACGGGTGCTATAAATAGGGAAGTGCCATGTGGCAGGCAGCCCTGGATGCAGCGGCACGGCCTCCCCGCGAGGCAGTGAGAGCTGGTCTCCCTCCGGCACCGATGGATTTCCAGAGGTCTCTGAGCAATTGGGCCCTGCTGCTTTTAAGACAAGTGTCCAAAAAATCCCTGGCCAAATTGGCGCCGTTGACCGGGAAACTCCCTGGGTGCCTGTGGCAGCTCCAGGTGCCCCCTCCCGATGCGTGCACACAGGGCTCAGTGGCTGGGAAAACCTCCAAACCCACCTCAAAACTCTTGAAAACCCACATTCGACTCCCGAGAGGCGGCGCGAGGGCCAAGCCCTGATCGATGGGCATTTTGCCGGGCCCGGGCTCAGGTTACAGAGCGGGTGGCTGGCCCTTCGCCTGCGCAGCCAGCCGGCCGGGGTGCAGCCACAGCCCCCCTGCCAGCGCCGCGGGGACCCCCCGGGCAGTGCCAGCGGGGACCCGCAGCAGCCGTCCAGGTTTCCTTGGTGACTGTTGCCAGGTGAGAAACTCTAAGGCAGAATTTATTATCTTGGTGGATAACCGGAGGTGTTCCTCGCCAGAGCTGTTACCGGACCATGCCCCGGCACCGTGCCGGGCTGGACCCTCTAGTGCCACTGGTGCCAGTGGGACCCCCCAAGAGAGGGCTGTGCCCGGGGCACGGGGGCTGCCTGGCCCTTGGAATTGCTTCCCGGAAGGCAGCATGTGTTTTGGGTTTATTTCTGCCCGCTGGAGTGTCGCAGGCGAGGGAAGGAGGCGAAAACACAGAGACCGCAGAGAAGCGCAGATGGACGCGGGCTGCCCGGCTGCCGTGCCTTGGCTTCCCTAGACCCTGTGAGTACGGACCCGAGCCGGCACCGGGAACACCGGGACCCCCACCCGAGACCCCCCCGCAGAGTGGGGGGGGCCAGCAGTGGCAAGGCTGGGGAGCTTGCGGGTGGGAAATGACAGCTTGTGAGGGAAAGGAGTGGGCAGCGCAGGGCTATAGGGGCTGCCTAGAGCGGTTACTGAGAGCCTTGAGCTGGGGTGGCACCAAAACCGAGGTGACAGCAAGGACCAAAAAATCCTGGTGGAAATATTTGCAGGCTGACCTGCTTTGCTTGGAATCGTATCGTCCCTGCCCAAAAAGGCATCCACAGCAGGGCGAGGGCATGCACAGGCTTTGGGGAGGGACTCAGCCTTCTCTTTAATGCATCGGACGAGGGTGGCAGCACACTGAGGCGGTAGATATGCAAATAACCACATCGTCCCTTTAAATCCCAGCACGGCTTTGGTGGCTAACGATAACCCCGGATCATACGAGCTCCTAAATCCCAAGAGCTAATTACAGGTGAACGCCCCACGGTCAGGCTGGAAATGCAAGATAATTACAGCCTGTGCCACGGAGACCTGTTGGTGATGAATTGGGGCACGGGGAATGTTCGCTGGCGGGCTGGCGTGACGGCGGGGAGCGCGGCCGGTTTGCACCGTGGCCCCTGCCCCGGCACAAAGCGCAGAAGGCCGTGCTGCAAACCGGCCGCGCTCCCCGCCGCCAGGCCAGCGACCATTCTGTGAGCTATTTTGGGCAAGGGAGGTTGTTTTTCTGGAGCACTCTTCGCTCCCCCCCCGCTGCTGGTACCGCCACCCTGCCGCGGACACAGAAGCAGGGGAGGAAGCGTGCAGGGAGCTGGTTGCTTTTCAGCCAATTTCTGGCCGGGTGCTTCCCAGCCAGAGCACACACGGTTTCTCCGGAGCGGCTTGGGATTGAGTGCAAGCTCCTCTGCTGGGGTTTGCTCTGCTCCCTGCTGCGTGGGGAAGCTGCCGGCTCGCTCCCGCGCGGTGCACGCAGCCCTGCGGTGCCCCTGCCATGGGTATAAGCCCTATCCTGGCTCCTACAGTGGTTTTGCTGAGAGCACTGCAGTGCTCCTGCTGCTTTCCTGCAGCAAAGCACGGGGGAAAGGAGAGTGTAAACCAACCCTCCTGCCTGCCAGGAGGCCCGGGCAGGCGCAGTCGCAGCGTGGCTGGGTTAGCACACTGCCAGGGCGCCAGGGCTGTATACTCTTACAGCAGGTGGGACCTGGGGAATCAGTTAATTAAAAGTAATTTTAACCCTTCCTGCCTGGACTAGTGTTCCAGCATCACCTGCTGCTTGAGGCGGGACTATAGCCAAAGTGGCATGTCTTCAAAATACATAATTATCGCAAAGACCTATAAATGCACCCGAAGAAGGTAACTCTGCTTTCTTGAAGAATTTAAGATGTGAGGCAGCAGTGGCGTGGCCCACGCTGGAGGAGCACCCCAGCTCTGGCAGCACCGAGCCCGGCGGTGGGCTCTGCACAGCCTCCAGCCTGCAGGGAGATTTAGATGGACGATATCCTCAGGGCAGACATGGGTTTTTCTCCCAGCAGTATGAGGGAGAGAAGCTGGACAGGGAAATGGAGCGGCAAAAGCAATCTCATGATGAAGCAAATGGAAAAAATATTTCCCCGACCAGAAACTATTCCACAGACTGCTGGGACAGGAAAGAACACAGCTGAGTTATTGAGAAAGCAATGCAAAATCCAAACAGTTTAGGCTGTGAAAACCAGTCATTTGCAAAGCTATTTCCAAACTAAGTAAAAAATTCCCGGCTCACAGATTCCCAGAACCCTCCCAGCTGCCAGCGGGGCCGGGCAGGGCAGCGTGGCTCCATCTCCCCTCTCACTGCGTGTCGAGCCGGGGAACGCTTTGTGAGTTCCACTTCACGCAGCACACGGGGTCTTTGGGGGATCGCGACATCCCCACCACCGCTCCGTGCGGCACCAGCTGAAGATTTAATCCTCAGCGCAAAGTGGGGAGGTTTCAGATCTGAAAGGGCAGTGAGGGAGGGAGCGCGGCCGTCCCCGCACCCCGGGGCACTGCCTCCACCTCTGTGCGCAGGGCTATATTTGGGAAGCCTCGGCGTGCGCTTGGCATGTCCCAGCGAGCTTTCTGGGAGCGATGGCTGCTCCGGGTCCTAGTGCGGTGGCAGTGGCCTGGGCAGAGGAGAGGAGAGCTCACGGGAGCGTGCTGGCAGCTCTCCCCTCACGGGCTCTTTAAGGGCTTTGGCAAGGAGCTCCCTGCCACTTCCAAGCGGCTTTTCTCTTCTCCTTTTACAGGAGCTGAGCCGCCAGGCAGGCATGTGTAAAGCAGACATGGCTATTTTCAGAGCGAGAGTCGGCGGGGGAGCCTGCTCCCACCCCACCCCAATGCCCTCGCTCGTCCACAGGAGTGAGAAGGGCTGGAAAAACTGCACAGCAAATCCCACGTCCCGCGCAGCCGTTAGCCACCGCTGCCACAGCCCTGTGTTCAAAGTGCATTGTGTGAACGCCAGGATTAAAAAAATAATGAAGGCTGGGATTAAGAAAATAATGAAGCTGGGATGGTCTCCAGGACAGGGCAGGCATTTGTGGGAAGGGGTGAATTGACATCCGCACGTGGTGGCAGGACTCAGGCCAGCACCTTGGGCATCCCTGGATGGGGGAGGCTTCTGAATGCTGGTGCCTGCAGCAAAGCACGGGGCAGGGACTCGGGCAGCACCGTGCCACCCTTGTGCTGGGAAAACAGTGTTTTCTCCTTCCCTCTGCCCTCCTCTGCTATTCCAGCTCCTGACAGTGAGGTCTCCAAAACACATGAGCGTCTAGGCGCTGCTGTGACAGAAGTAACCTGCAACCCACCCAAACCCCCTCGCTTTCCTAAGCCATCCTAGAGATGCCAGCACAACCCCCCTCTGTTTGGCACCGTGGGTTTTACCCCGACGGGCACCTCCCACTTCCACGGCGGCAGCTTCGCACCGCGTTGGAGGTCACTCCTCCCGTGCAGCTCCCGGGTGGGCTCAGAGCGAGGGCCGGCCAGCAGCTTCCCGCTCTGCTGGCCCAGGATCCGGCCGCTACACATGCCAACACCCGGGTGGGATGTCCCCGGCGCCCGGGCGGTCCCTCCCGGCCCGCCGCAGCCCTGGGTGACAGCGGTGTCCCAGGGTGTCTGTGCCGTGCAGGCAGGGGCGCAGGCGTGGAGCCGGCAGGCACAGGGAGTGGCGGAGGCAGCGGGGGCAGGACCGCTGGCTGATGCTATCTGGGACACAGATCGCTTTTATGGTCTGTTGTTTACAGGGCTGAGCTGCCGACAGGTAGGGTTAGGCTTGAGGGGTGACTCACAGCATGAACCAGAAAACAGCCCACTGCCTCTCCGGGCTTGGGTCAGAAAATGGGTTAATAACTGGTGTGGGAAGCGCTGTGAGGCTTCATCCCTCCATTCCCCTGACAGCTGCCGGAGATCCTGGACGCAGGACTGGAATTCTTGACTGCGTAAACAATCGCTCTTAAGTATTTCATCATGAAGCAGAGGAAGATGAAATTAAAAATATGATGAGTCGGAGCCCAGGCATTGCTCAGCCGAAGGCTTGGTGACCTGCCAGACTCCTGGGGGATGCTTTTAATTTGGATAAATGGAAGTTGCATAAATGCTATAAATTGCACATTGCTCTTGCTGCTAGCACAGAGGTGTGGGCGCAGTTGGCAATGCCACACGATGCGCCGTCGCCGGCTGAGCACCCAGCCGGGCGCAGCCATCACCCGTGCCCAGCTCCCACCCCGGGTGTCCGCAGGAACCACCCGGCTGGTGGGCAGGCTCCTTCACTTGGACACTGTTCCCTTTGCCCTCTGCCCTGCTAGGTTCTTTTTTTGGAGACGCTGTTTTCCCAAAACAGCTTGAAAATATGTAACCATCATACCAGAGCTGAGCGGTCACACGTAGGTCTCCCATCCCCGCCGGTCAGGCCAGCCCCTATTTGCTCAGGGTGTTTGCGGTTTCCCGAAGCAGCTGTTCAGTGTTGGAAGGAAAAACGCTGAGCAGCTGTTCAGCGTTGGAAGGAAAAGCGCTGAGCAGCTGCAGAAACCAGGATTGCTTCTGTGCAGGAGCTGCCATCGGGGAAGACGCGGCCTCCAAGGTCTCAGGCGTTTTTACTCCCAGCTCTGCTGCTGATAAGCCCGATAGCCCTGGTAATGCTTCCAGCCCGGTAAAATGGGGGAAAGTGGGGTTGGGGGGGGGGGGGGGGGTTCATGCTTTTGACTTGTGTGGGGCCAAGCAAGCAATGGGCACAGCATCCCGGCTGTTAGCACGGACACCTCCTTGTGAGCTGGCCTGGCTGCCAAGGGATGAACACCGAGTTACCTAAGCCTTCCCAGTCTGCCTAAACCAGGGGAAATTGGCCGACCACAAACACTCCTTGCCTCGCCCCATCCCCGCCAGCCAGCCGGCGTGTGCCCGGGCTGCACCGAGTGATCAGGCAGGCAGCGTGCGCTCGCGCCGCGCCTCCCTACGTCCCACCACCTTGAAGGCGCTGGGAAAAGCACCGTGTTGTTCAGCCGTTGGCCAAGGCAGGAGCGTCCAGGATGCAGGAGCTGCATCTCCTCTGTAACGGCCTACCCAAATCTCGAGGCCAGCCCTGCGCACCCGCACCAGCCGCCTGCCCGACCCAAGGGGGTGGCTCTGCTGCAGCTGGGCTTATGAGATACCAAAATGTGCCCTGCCTTGGCAACACCCTTCCTCCCACCCGCCACCCCGCACGGGCTGGGGGGTGCCCTTCCCCGGGGCTGGAGCTCAGGGTCGGCCCCCGGAGCTGGGGTGGGTAGCGGGTGCCCTGGCAGGGCGGGCACCCCCGTTGCCATCCCCCTCCTGCCCCACGGTGGGACTCCGGCGTCCCTGGGGACACGGCTGACACCTCTCCCCTCGGGGGGAACCCCCCGTGTTGCTGCACCTTGGGGTGCTTGGAGCTGCCAGGGCACCGCTGGGCCTGGACATAGCGGAGGGGTCCTAGGGAGGACCCCAGAGGTTCGGGGGGACACAGGGTGTAGTACGGGGGCTGGCAGGGCTACGGCTGGGGGAGTGGGGGGTCCCAGGGTGGGTGCTGCAGGGGGCTCCTAGGTTGGCAGGGGGGTCCTGGGGTGTTGGTCCTGGCCATGTCAAGGGTGTCTTGGGGCGGAGGGTCCCCGCAGAGACAGGGAGTCCTGGGTGGAAGAGCGCAGGCAAAGATGGGGGTGTTGGGGGCTCTCCCGCCAGTGGGGACCTAGCGCAGCAGCGTGGGGGTCCCGGGGCGGCGGGATGGCGGGGATGCCTGGCAGGGGGGACCCCGGAACGGAGAAGGGGGTCGGGGTGTCCAGCCCCCTGTACCCGTCGGGGCGGCCTCTGAGCGCTGTCGGTGCAGCCCCCCCTCTCCCCCGCCCCCCCCCCCCCGAGGGGTCGGCTCGGCTGGGCTCGGCGGGCCCGGGGCTGCCCGTCGGGGCACCGTGAGGCGGGGGGGGGCCCCGCTCCGCCCCGCCCCGCCCCGCTCCGCCCCGCAGCGCGGCTCTTCTCTCCGCTGCAGCCCGGGATGGCGGCGCGGCGGGGCTGAGCGGGCCGGGCCGGGCCGGGCCGGGCCGGGCCGGGGCCGGGATGGACGGCCCGAGGGGGGGCTGCCCGCCCGCCGCCCCGTCGCGGGCGAAGCTGCCGCTCGGCATCGTCTTCTCGACGGCGCTTTTCTGCGGGGAGGGGGCGGCGGCCGCCGTGCTCTGCCTCTCCTACGGCCACTCCGACGACCGCTTCTGGCTGGCGCTCACCGTCTTCTTCGTGCTCTGCCCCTCCGTCCTGGTGCAGCTCACCCTCATCTTCGTGCACCGCGACCTCAGCCGCGACCGCCCCCTCGTCCTGCTCATGCACTTGCTCCAGCTCGGGCCCATCATCAGGTGAGCGCGGCCGGGGACGCGGGGACCCCCCGGCGGGGGACACGGGCACCCCCGGTAGGGACATGGGGGCTCCCAGCAGGGATGTGGGAACCCCCGGCAGGGGTGAGGGGACCCCCAGCAGGGGACTTGGGGACCCTTGGCAGGGGTGCGGGGACCGGGTGAGATCAGGACCGGGGGGGCCGGGCGGGACGGGGCGCTCCAGGCACAGGCTGGCAGCACGAATCTGTCCGTGCAGCAAACCCCGGAGCTGCTCCTGCCGGCTCTCCAGCCCCCCCGCCCTGCTCCTCCCCGGGGACACGGCTGCTCCCAGCCCGTGGGGGTCTTCTGCTCAGTCACCCCTCCCCAGCAGAGCTGCGGTGCAGGACCCCCGCTCCGGGCAGGACTCTGCTCTCCCAGCCTGTTGCATCTCAGTTGCTGAAAACGTTCTTTGCACGGACACGTTCTGCAGCCGGTGGCTCTGTTGGCCTTTGGGTTTTGTCATCGTCTGGCTTAGGCTGGGAGAACAGATGCAAATCCCAGCTGGGGGGCTTGAGGGTGAATAGGAACAGGGGTCCTGCTCCCCAAAAAGGGTCCCCAGGCCTGGGACGGGCGGGGGTTATGGGACACGGAGGAGAGGGGCTGGGTGCAGGAGCGGGGCTGGCGTGGGAGCTGGGGGTCCACCAGCCGGTGCTGGGGAGAGGAAGGCGAGGGGGTGGATGTTGCACAAGGCGGAGCGGTGCTGCTCTCTCACGCCTTGGGAATGCTGCAGTGCCTCCCCGGGCTGCCGTCACCCTGGCCACGCTGCTCGGTGAGAATGCACAGGGGGTGCAAAGCCACCGCGGCCTGCACCGTGCTTCCTCCGCCACCGGAAACAAACAGGGCGCCACGGGCATCCTCCTCATCACGTTTCGTCTTCAGAGCTGGCCCAGGAGCATCACCTCGGTGCCCCCCCGCCGTCGGAAGGGCTGCCGGGTCCCACGGTGGTGTCGCAGCTCTCACGGCACCGACCGCAGCTGGCTGAGTGCTTGGTGCTTGGCTGCTTGCAAGAGCCAGCCAGAGCCGCTCAAGGGGGTGTGGGGGGGGGGTTGCTTCAGTCGGCTCCTCGGGCTGGAGATGGAGCCCAGCCTGCTGAGGTCTGGCAGGGCACTGGGAGCCAGCTGGGGCTGCCCTTGAAGCCGGGCCTTTTGGATGAAACCGTTTTCCCGTTAAGAATGCGCAATGAGCCATGAGTGCTGGCCTGATCTGACAAGAGACTTTATCCAAAAACCTCATTCCATTTGGGTCTGAAACAGAGCAACTTCTGCTGTCCTAATGAGTGCTCATAAATAATTACGTCCTGTTGGTCCCAGAGCCAGCTCATCCCCAAGCAGGAGCCGAGCCTGTTGGATGGGTCCTCCTCTGCTGATGGCCTCCGGCCCGTGCGCACCCACCTCATGGCTGTTTGCAGAGGGGCTGGGGGTCCCGCTGCCCACTGGCCTTGCAGGGGGGTGGGGGGCAGCATGGGTGAAACCTGCCTCCCCTCGGAGCTCGTGAGGGTGCCCCGCAGGGATGGGGCTGCGGAAGCGCTGGCTTATCAGCCCGTGTCACACCCGGCTTCACCCTGCGCTCCCCTTCCTGCCGTCCCCACCAAGAAGGAAGCGTAGAAGCCTTCTGCTCAAGAGGAGAGATCAAAGACAATATCAGAAAGTTTCTCTTGCCTCCGCTTAGAGGAAGAGCTTTTGTGCCAGTGGGGAAAACAGAGCCCAAGTGTGATTAACCCCTTCCTGTAGCTCTCGCTCCCAGCAGAGCTACAGTTTTGATACCCTGGATGCTGCACCCCTTGCAGGAGCTGTCGCACCCCTCGCCAGGGCGGTTGTTGTCCCCTTGCCCCACACGCTTCACCCTGAGTGCCGGAGCAGCGGGGTGACGGCTGCCCGCGTCCCCGCAGGTGTATGGAGGCCTTGGTGGTGTACTGCTGGTCGGGGAAGGAGGAGGAGCCCTACGTCACCATCACCCGCAAGCGGCGGCTGCGGGAAGGCTACGAGGTGGAGATGGAGCAGGAGGTGGGCCACTCGGTGCGCCGGCTGGCCACCCACCGCAACGCCTTCAAGCGCATGGCGGTCATCCAGGCCTTCCTGGGCTCCACCCCGCAGCTCACCCTCCAGCTCTACATCAGCGTCCTGGAGAAGTACGTCCCCGCCGCCCGAGGTAAGGGTGCCTGGTGCGTGGGGTCCCCCGGGGTCGTGCAGGCAGGACCCCCCCTCTCCCCACCCCCCCCGCTACCACGGCACGGCGGCGGCTCCTCTGCCGGTGTGGCACCCGAGCAAAGCTCTTGGGGGGGAGCTGCTGGGGGGCCACGGCTGCCACCGGACTCCCCTAAACGTGGACACAACCCGCAGAGGTTGGGCACTGACCCCGTCTCCTGGTTTGCTTTCCCCACGCCCAGCCCTCTGCTTGCCAGCTTGCAGTGAGGCTGGGGAGAGTGGGAAGAGCTGGCCGTGACCGAGGCGCCAGGCTCTGCTCCCAGCCCCGGTGCTTGCAGACGGCTGCCCTGTGGAGCCATGCCATCCACCCGGTGCCCTGTCCCATAAAGATGCCATGCCCCTGCCCCAGGCTGCTCCACTCTGCATTAGGTACTGTTTTTTTCCAGTTAGCTACGGGCTCCGGCTTCCCCACGGTGCCCCTGTCGGCTCTTATTTCTGTGCTTTTCCCAACAGCTGGGGCTCCCAGCCCACTGCTCCCACTCCCAGGCTCCCTCAGCTGCTCCCGGGGTGTTTATGTGCTTGGGGGCTGGATGTGCCAGAGCGAGCTTTTCAAACCTGCTTGGGCACGCTGACGAGCCGGGTGTGCAGGAGTGCTCTTGCACCTTAGCGCCCGGTGAAGGAGCTGCCCTCGCTGGCCCACTCTCCTGGCCGTGCTGCGAGCCCAGACCTTGCCCTCTGTGCCTATGGCCCACGGAAAGGGGGACACGGGAGCTGCAAGGGCAGTTTGGGGAGTGGGAGCGGCAGGGGGAGGATGAGCCCCGGCACTCCTCCAGCAGCAGATGCGGGAAGCGAATCCCGGCTGACACGTTTCGGGTGGTCCCCTCGCAGCTCGGGTGTCTCAGCTCAGCCCCGCAGCTCGCAGCCGCACGCTCCCCTTTTCCTGCGTCGCGGCTTTCCTAGATGCGCTGAACGTGAGCAGCTGCCAGTGCTGGCTTTGCAGCCCCCCGGAAAGGCTGGCTCTTGAGGTGCTTCTGAGGTGGGCTATGGTGGTGTGGCTCTTGGCCTGGGTGAGGGCAGAGGAATGCTCGCAGCACAGACCCTGCCCTCACTCCCCCTTGAGCGGCGTTCCTTGCAGAGGGCGGCGGGGTTGGTGCCTGGTTCAAGCATAGAAATGGCCCCGGCTTTGCAAAGACCTTTATTCATGTGGAGAGAAAATTTGGGAGCAGAGCCTCTTGCTGCCTGCAGGTCCCCCCACAGCCACCCCATCGCGGGGTCTGTCGCCGCCAGCCACGAGCTGTCCCAGCAGTGCGCACGCCGAGCCTCCTGCTGCAACCCCCAGTGCTCAGCACCGTGCATTTTGCACCCAGGGTTGGCACCCCGTGCCTTGTGCCCAGGGTTGGCACCCCATGCCTCGCACCCGGGGCAGCAGAGAGGCCGGGCACTCAGCCCGCTCCTCAGCGATGCCTGACTCCCCTGATCTCTCCCTCTGCAGCCGTCCTCATGGGCATCTGCCTGGTGTCGGTCACCTACGGGGCACTCGTCTGCAATATCCTCGCCATCCAGGTCAAGTACGATGACTACAAGGTCCAGCTGCGGCCGCTGGCCTTCCTCTGTATCGTGCTGTGGCGCAGCCTGGAGATCTCCACCCGCGTGGCCGTCCTCGTGCTCTTCAGCACCGTCTTCAAGCACTGGATCATCCCCATCGCCCTGGCCAACCTGCTGGTGGTCTTCTTCTTGCCCTGGGTGCAGTTCTGGCGGAGCGGCACCCGCCTGCCCGACAACATCGAGAAGAACTTCAGCCGGGTGGGCACGGTGGTGGTGCTCTGCGCCTTCACCCTCCTCTACGCCAGCATCAACATGTTCTGCTGGTCGGCCGTGCAGCTCAAACTGGCCGACCGGGACCTCATCGACAAGTCGCAGAACTGGGGCCGCCTGGCCATCTACTACGTGGCCCGGCTGGCGGAGAACACGGCCCTCGTCGTCCTCTGGTACTTCTTTAAGACAGATGTCTACGAGAACATCTGCACCCCACTGCTGGTGGTGCAGCTGCTCCTTGGCTACTGCATGGGCATCTACTTCATGCTCCTCTTCTTCCAGTACCTGCACCCCTGCCGCCAGCTTTTCCGGCACAACGTCGCTGACTACCTGCACTGCGTCTGCTGCCGCCGGCACCCGCCGGGGACCCCTCTGCACCTCCAGGTGCCTTATGAGCCCGGCGTGAGGCACAGCATCGTCTGAGGCACGGCCAGCACCCGGCTCCTCCAGCCGGCTACAGACACGGGGCCGGGCAGCGCTGGGCTGCGCCGGCAGCCGGAGGGGTCCCCGGGTGTCCCCGCGGTGGCAGGGGGACAGGAGTGTGTCTGCCTGCCTGCGACCACGCACGTGGACACGAAGGACTTAAGGGGTGCCCGAACCTACAGGCTGGCTGCCGTGCGGTGCCCCGACCGCCCGCTCCGGAACATATGGTGACCCCAGGGCCACGGGTGCCAGTGGGACTGGTTTAAGCAGTAAAGAAACTTTGCTGTGGCTGCGTGTCCGGGTGCTGGCGCGTGGCCGGTGACTCACGTGGAGGGTGGGGACCGTCCCGCCGAGGCTGGCATGGGCATGCACACCCACTGCCCACGTAGCCCTCGCGATCGCGGGCACCGAGCCGGGGCTGCGCCGGCGGGAAGTGGGGATTGGGGCGGGGGGGGGGGGCGGTGCAGCCCCACGACGGAGCCGATAAGGTGCAGGAGCATGGTGGGACTCATCCTGTGCCTCGGCCAGCCGTGGCTGCGGGCCAGGAGCAAGCTGGCTCGCCAGCAAGGAGCAATGCTGCCCAACCTGTTCCTCCAGGCTCCAGGTTGCTGTTCCCAGCCGGAGCGCAGGGCACGGCGGAAGGCAGGCAGAAGAGGAAGGGCAGCTGGCACAACAGCAGGGATGCTGATGGGACCCAGGCGTGCTGGCCCCAAACCAGGAGTGTGACCCCCCACCCCCGTTCCCAGCACCCATTTGTGGGGTCAGCTCAGTTCGGAGGGTGCTGGGTGCCCGGCTGAGGGTGTTGAGCACCCCTGGGGTGCCTACAGAGGTGCAGCACTGCTGGCATTCAGTCTTAATTCACCTGCCCTGGAGTGGATCCCCGTAAAACAGAGGCAGTGAAGGCTGGCAGGGGAGGCTGGGGAACCAGGCGCAGGATGGACCTTCCGTGACTTCCTCCCACCAGGAAATTCCTACCTTAAAAAAGCCCATTTTTGTCCCCAAATATTGCAAAAAAAAAAAAAAAACAACAAAAAAACAGTAGGAGCAGCCCGGTGCCCTGCAGCGCCCAGCTGTGGGGTCATGGGGGAGCCGTGCCTGGCGGGCACTGGGGACCAGTTTGGGGGCTGGCCGACGGGGTCAGCCCTGCCTTCCTGGAAGGCGGCCTTTGAAACCGTCCAGCATTTCCTCAAAGGCTTCTTGGGGGAAAGTCCCGTTCCTGTGGCCGGGGCTGCCGCACCGCCCGCCGCCTCCATAAAGCCTCGGGCAGGCGTGGGCAGGCGGGCGCAGGGACGCTGCACCATGGGCAACTGGCTGGTCAACCACTGGTTCTCGGCCGCCGTCCTTGTGAGTGTGTGGGGCTGGGGGGGGGGCTCATCAGCCGGGAGGGGCTGGGGCGATACGGGGGGGGTTTGGGGTCACACCCTTGGGGGGCTTGGCAGGGGTGTGGGGGGGAAATGGGGACTGATGGGCTGTGCTGGGGCTGGGCTGCAGGGAGAGACGAGCATCCCGTCTGCTCAGCCAACCTGCAAAGCCCAGGTGCCCAGCGGAGGGACGAGGGGGTTCGGAAAACTGAAGTCTTAAGGAAAACACAGCTCAAAGGAAAGGGCGGGGTATTCCGCTACAAAACTTTAAAATGCTGCTGCTTTGCCTGGCTGCTTTGGCCAGGAGCTTCCCGTGTGCCTCGTCTCCCCACGTGAGAGCAGGAGGCTCCCGTGGGAGCCCACGCCGGGGTGAGGAGCCCGCACCAGAGGGACGATCTGCCGGTGCTGGGATAACGGGGCTTGCTGGGCTGGCACCACGCCGGCTGCTCGGTGCCACATGAGGAGCCGCAAATAGATGGGAAAGTGGGGATTTGCAGAAAGTCGGGTTCTTTTCATTTTTAAAATGACTTTAAAAACCCCACAACAAAACAACGAAAAAACCCAACAGGAAACAAGTACAAGGCAGAGTAGTTTGGGGAGCTCTGCAAAAAATCAGTGGCTGTGAGAGGGGCCGGTGTAGGGTGCAGCAGGGTCAGGCAGGGGACAGCAGCGCAGGGGGGCTGGGTGAGCCAGCTCCCTGCAAAATTTCCTCCTGGAGTCCTCCCTGCCCAGCCCCGGACCCTCCAGATCTGCCCTCCCGCCGTGCCTGCACCTGCCTTTCCTCCTTCCTCGTGCATGGGTGATGATGCACAGGGCCATGGGTGACAAGATAGTTACTTTGCAAGGCTCCCACACCTCTCCCCACCTTTGGCCCCATGTCCCAGCCCTGTGCGTGGTGCCACAGCTCACAGGGAAGCAGGAGGGGATTGCTCTCCTGATGCCCTCCGGCTGCGCCCGCACCCGAGTGCTGCGGGGAGAGGGGGGTCCCGGGCTGGGGTCCCTCATGAGGCTGCGGGTTTTCCCCACAGGCGGCCTGGCTGGGCATCAACATCTTCCTCTTCACGTACTACTTTCTGTTCTTTGACCGGGACGAGCGGTATTTTTACACCAGGGCCATCCTCGGGGTAAGATGCTCCCTTGAAACGCCCTGCCTGCCTGGCCATGTGTGTCCCTCGGAGCCCTCCTGCAGTGGGGTGAGGGTTGCAGCACCCCCATGCCCCTTACTTGTCCTGCCCTCTCCCAGCTCACCATCGCTACATCCCAGTCCCCAGCTCAACCTTGTTCCGTGCTGGTCCACCTTGGTCCCCGTCTTGTCCCAGCCCAGCGTCACCCCCCCCTCCTAGTCCTGCTCCTCTCCTGGCTCAGCATCACCCCTCCCAGTCCCCAGCCCAGGCCAGCATCGCTCCTTCCCAGCTCATCATCGCTTGGCCCCATCCTGTCCCAGTCCTGGCACAGCACCGTGCTGGTCAGAGCCGTGGGGGGGCAGACGTACCCCATCTGTGACACATGATAGAGGTGCTCACCCCTCCTTCCTCTCCCCAGTCTGCCCTGTCGTGGGCACGAGCCTCAGCCAAGTGCCTCAACTTCAACAGCATGCTGATCCTGCTGCCCGTCTGCCGCAACCTCCTCTCCTTCCTCCGCGGGACTTGCTCGGTGAGTGCCCCGTGGTGGCACGGCCAGTGTGGCTGTCCCTGTCCCCGTCCCTGTCCCCGTCCCCATCCAGACCCCGCTGCCTCTCCCCGCAGTGCTGCAGACGGACGCTGCGGAAGCAGCTGGACCACAACCTCACCTTCCACAAGCTGGTGGCCTACGCGCTGGCCCTGCTCACAGGTACTGCCCCGCGCTGGGCCGGGGCACGGTGGGGACCAGGGGGGGACGGCCAGGCGGGTGACCGCCTGTCCCCCGCCCAGCCGTGCACACCATCGCCCACCTCTTCAACCTGGAGCGCTACAACCGCAGCCAGCAAGCCGCCGACGGCAGCCTCCCCGCCGTCCTCTCCAAGATGCACCTGCAGGGCAGCGACAAGTGGCTGAACCCCATCCACTCCAACCGGACGGTGAGAGCCGGCCCCAGAACCCCCGGCCACCGCCTGTCCCTCCCCTGCCTCCCTACAACCCACCCTGCCGCCCCTGCAGACTGTCGAGTACGTGGCCTTCACCACCATCCCGGGGCTGACGGGGGTCATCATCACGCTGGCGCTCATCCTCATGGTCACCTCCTCCACCGAGTTCATCCGCAGGAACTACTTCGAGGTCTTCTGGTACACGCACCACCTCTTCCTCATCTACTTCGCCGGCCTCGTCATCCACGGCATCGCGTAAGGCTCCTCACCGCTCCCCGGAGGCAGGACGGCGAGGGGCAGCGGCCGCGGGGCCCCGGGGGAGCAGCTCAGCCCCGAAGAGCGGCCGCTGGGGCTGTGGGCTCCCCATTCCCAGGGCTGGCTAGCCCAGCCGGCCTCACACAGCACGGCTCAGCCCCAGCAGGGAGGGGGCAGGATCCGGCCCCTGCGCTCACCCCTTGCCTCCCCGCAGCAGGCTGGTGCGTGGGCAGACGGAGGAGAGCATGGAGGAGGTGCACCCCCACCGCTGCGCCCCGTATCTCCCGCAGAAGGACGAGGACTGCAGCCACGACTGCTGCAAAGAGCCTGAGTTCGGGAGCATCCCCGCCGAGGTAGGACAGCGACGGGAGAAGCCCTTCCCTCGCCCTTGGGATGCTCCAGCCCTGGCCCTCCCCAACCCTTGGCTCTCCTCCATCCCCGCAGTCCTGGAAGTGGGTTCTGGCCCCTGTCCTCCTCTACATCTTCGAGAGGATCCTCCGGGTCTGGCGTGCGCGGCAGAAGGTGGTTGTCACCAAGGTGGGTGGTGCAGGAGCCTGTGCCTACTGCCAGCTCCATCCCTCGCAGCCCCCGGTGCCGCAGCACCTTGCCGGGGTGGCCGTGGGGTGGGAGGTGGGCAGGGGGCCGCTGGCAAAGCCCCTCGCCCAGGAGCAGGAGCCAGGCTGGGTGCGGAGCCCTGTCCCTGCCCCGCAGGTGGTCATGCACCCTGCCCGTGTGCTGGAGCTGCAGATGCAGAAGAAGGGCTTCCGCATGGAGGTGGGGCAGTACATCTTCGTCAACTGCCCCGCCATCTCCCTGCTGGAGTGGCACCCTTTCACCCTCACCTCGGCGCCTGAGGAGGACTTCTTCTCCATCCATATCCGGGCGGCCGGTGACTGGACGGAGCGTCTCATCGACACCTTCCAGCAACGGAAGCCAGAGACGCCCAGGTAGGCTGGGGAGCGCCTGAACAGACCATCCCGGGGTTTTGGGGAGGCCATACCTCTCACGCAGGCTCTCCCTTGGCCAGGATCGAGGTGGATGGCCCCTTCGGCACAGCCAGCGAAGATGTGTTCCAGTACGACGTGGCCATGCTGGTGGGAGCGGGCATTGGCGTCACCCCCTTCGCCTCCATCCTGAAGTCCATCTGGTACAAGTTCCAGCAGGCTGACCAGACCCTCAAGACCAAGAAGGTACGGGGAGCCCCACGGGACCAGCCGTGGGTTTCTCCAGTCCTCGACGTTGCATCTTTCCACCCCTCCTGCTCTGCTCCTCCTTGAGCAACCCCTCTCCCTCTGCATCCCAGATCTATTTCTACTGGCTCTGCCGCGACACGGGAGCCTTCGCCTGGTTCAATGACCTGCTTGCCTCGCTGGAGCAGAAGATGGCCGAGTCGGGCAAGGCGGACTTTCTCACCTACCGGCTCTTCCTCACCGGCTGGGACACCAGCATCGTGAGTCCAGCATGGGCAGGCAGGACTGCGAGGGGGGACACGGGGTGGCCAAGGCAGGCAGGGCGAGCACGTCAACAGCTTGCCGGCAGAAAGCCTGGGCGAGGTGGCTGGTGGGCATCAGCAATGGCTGCTCCTCCACGGTGAGGGACTGGAGGTGGGCACACGGGTGGTGGCCGGGGTCCTCACCGTCCCCGCTCTGCCCAGGCCAACAACGTGGCACTCCGTTTCGACACCGCGACGGACACGGTGACGGGCCTCAGGCACAAAACCAGCTTTGGGCGGCCCATGTGGAACAGCGAGTTTGCGGCGGTGGCTGCAGCCCACCCCAGGTGAGAGCCGGGCCGGGGGGTTCGGGGTGCCGGTGGTACCCCCTCCTCCCCAACACCCAGCGCCGGGCTGGGCAGCGCTGGCTTTCTGAGGGGTGCGCTCATGCCCCAGAGGTTGCAGAGACCCCCAAAAGCCCTTAAATCACTTTTCCCCGTGCTGATGGCTCTGTGCTGCGTGCAGGTCAGTGGTTGGCGTGTTCCTCTGCGGGCCAGGGGCCTTGGCAAAGAGCCTGCAGAAGTTTTGCCACCAGCATTCCAGCCTGGACCCCAGGAAGGTCAAATTCTATTTCAACAAGGAGAACTTCTAAGCAGAAGCCAGGCTGGGACCCCAGTGCACAGGGGACCCTGCTGGTCTTGCCTCACCCCCCGTGGCAGAGGTCGTGGAGGCCAGGGATAAGCATCTGCTGAGGAGTTGCATGCACTGAAGCCCAGCAAGGTCCTCCCCTTCTCCATGAGAAACTCCAGGTTCAAAGACTGCTGCCTTCTCAACCCGATCTACAAGGGATCCTTGTGGGGGGAGCGGGCCTGCAGCTCCACACGGCCCCCCCGCCGAGAAACCAGAGGCACGTGCTGCTAGGATGCTGCTGCAGCAGCGGGAAGCAGCGGGCAAGCCCAGTGGGCTGGGCAGACCTGGAGGATGGGGCCAGGCCGTGGGCACGCCGAGCAGGCACCGGGGCCAGACGCACCCCTCTGCGATCAAGCAGTCCTTTGCGTAAAAGGGTAAATTAAACGTGCTTTCCTTTGCAATAAAAGCCACCGTGGTGACTCGGTCTGTGCAGGTAGGAAGGGAGTCCACTCTGTCTTCTCGTAGGGCTGCAATAAAAAAGGTGGTTCCCAGCAGCCCCCCTGGGTGTGGGGTAAGGCACTCCCCCGCTGCGGGGGCTCGCTGCCACCGCCCGGAGCCAGCCCGCACCACCCACCAGGCACACGCCGCCTTCCAATGCAGCTCATGCAAAGGCAACAAATTCAGCTCAAGCATATGCAGAGAAGGGAAAAACCACCCTCCCGGAGCGGGTCGGCGTGGTAAGTGATACAGCAATCAGATACGGAGCCCTTCGTGCCCGGTTGGCAGAGACAGAAAACCGAGCTCCCTGTCCTGCCCTTCCCTTCCACCCCTGTGCTGCAAACAGCACGGCACGTAAGAAATCCCATGCGTACATCTTGCCCTGGTGCTGGGGAGAAGGGAGGAAGGCGAGTGGTTTGGACTAGCCTGGAGTCAGGCCAGACTGCTCTCTGAACCCAACAGTCCCACTCCAGCCTCCCACTCCACCAAACAAGGCAGCCGGAGACACGACATTACACAAACCCTCCTCCCGCTTTATTTCAAACACCATAAAATATACACACAGAAAAAAAGGATGAGTGGGAGGGCAAAACGTTGTGTGTGAGGGGGGGGCGGGAAAAACTCTCCCAAAACGCAGCATCGGCTCAGAGAGCAACGGGAAGCAGCTGCCGTGGAGCATCGCCTCTGTCCAGGTAGACAGCATCTCCACCACGTGCCTGCGAGGAGGAAAGGGAGGAGAGTGAGCCCTGGCATGGGGAGGAAAAGCAGAGTAGAGCCCCATGCGGAGCAGCTCTCTGATTTACTGAAGGGCCGAGGCCGGGTTAAGGATGTCACCTGTCAGGGTGCCCCCGTGGACTTCTGGATTTGCTCCTTTAGAATAAGGATGCTCTGCCGCTGCTCTGGGGGCAGCATGGCAATCTGGTCCGCTGTCAGCTGCAGAACCTGCATGATCAAGGCTGCCTGTGGGGAGAGGGGGGGAAATCAGAGACGTGCCCTGCCAGAGCAGCCACGGGTTACCCGAGCCACGAAGGGCCCGTCCCCACCACAGTAAGGCACGTTTTAAGTGCTGCTCCTGCTGTCTCACCCATTCCCTTTTGGCCTCTCACCTTCTCGTGATCCTGGGGGGTGACCTGGCTCTGTCCAGGGCTAAAACCTCCGGGCTGACCAGCTCCTTGGACCCCTGCCCCAGGAATGCCTCCTCCCTGCATGCCTGCCCCTGCCATGTTAGGAACCTGTGGGCACGAGAAAGGGGGTAAGGACCAAGGGGTCTCTGGACTCCGCCATACAAATACAGGAACATAAAGCAGATGATCAGTTGGACGCCCTCACAGCCAGCCTGAAGAGAGACAGGCTACCGTGCATCTTACTCTCCCTCCAACTCCTGCGCTCTTTCCTGCGCATCAGGAAGAAGAGGAGGGAGGCCCGAGCCTTGCCCTGTCCCCAGCAGATGGGCAGTGCCTGGGGAGATGCGATGGATGTTCTGACCCCCTCAGAGAGCCACTGACCCGGGCCTTGTGCCTCCCGGGGGTGCTGCTCGGTGGGACGCCCTCCCCTCTCTAGCTGCTGCAGGACGCAGTCACCCCCCCTCCCCAACCCAGCCCCAATCTACGAGACACCGTCGGTGCCCGACCAGCCGAGCAGAGGCGTTGTGTGTACCTGGCGGGGCCCCTGGGGGCCACTAGCTCCCATGTTAAGTGGCCCAGGGCCCTGTATCCCGCCAGGCATGGGGCCACGCGGGTTGGGACCAGGCCCTCGAGGCTCCAGGCCCCGGGGCTCCATGACCCTGGCCTCCATGGCCCTGGCTTCCAGCACTCGCGGCTCCAGGACCCGTGGCTCCAGGCCTCGCGCCTCCAGGGCTCGCGCCTCTATCACCCGGGGCTCCAGGCCTCGCGGCTCCAGGCCTCGCGGCTCCAGCCCTCGGGGATCTCTTCCGACTGCAGAGGAAAGAGAAGGCAGGCTGTTGAAGGGAGCGGCCACCGCAGGGAGCGTGGGAGTGAGCCCGCTGCCTCCTTCGTCTGGGAGGCAAATTGCCCGGGAGGTGCAGAGCTGGGGGCAGAGGGGACGTGCCTGGAGGAAGTCCCTCGCCCTGCGGGATTGGCCCTCCTCGCCCTGGAGTTAGTCGTTTCACTGCCCAAACCCCCTTCCTACATCTCGCGCCGGGGCAGCGGGCTCCACTCTGGCTTCCTTGTCTGCACGCTTTTAGCCACCCGTTATTTCATGCCCCCTCTCTCACCTCGAGCATCCATCAAGGGCCCCCGCGGCTCTCCCATCAGCGGTCGGGGTTCTCCCATGGGTCCCCCCCTCATCTCATGGGGGGGGCCACGGCTGTCATGACCAGGCATATGGTGCATAGGGGCTCCCTGGTGGGGCGGCCCAAGGTAACCTCTGACGCAGAGAGACGAAGAGAGCAAAGCAGGAGGAGGAGAAAAAGCGAGAGAGTGTGAATCAGACACTGGCTTGGCACGGTCTGGGCAGAGCGCTGGGATCGCCCCCGAAGCCGGCCGCAGGGGGAGGAGGGCGAGGCTGGCATGGGGACGGGTGCTGACGGCCCCGTGCCGCAGGGCTGCTGCCATCACCCCGGGGATGCCCCGTCCCCGGGTAAACGGGCCGGCCCCCGCCGTCGGCAGCACACAGCGGTGACTCCCGGAAGGCTGGTGCCATCCCTGTCCTCAGCGAGAGATCACCCTTGGGCAGGGGGCAGTGCCGAGGGCTCGTCTCCTTCCCTCTCCCCTCACCTGGGCTCCACTTCTCCAGTGACTGAGAGCAGGGTCCCTCCGCGAGGGTCATTCGGGGCATCTCCCAAAAGGCCTCGGGGCGGCGGGCCACTAGCAGGTAGAGGTCCACGCTGCATAGGGGCCCTCGGGTCTGGCATGGGCACTGCCAGGGAGACACACAAGAGCTCGTGAGGATCTGCATGACCAGTGCCGTGCTGAGTCTGTCCCCCAGCGCCCTCGGGGCTGGGGTGCGGGGCAGCCTGACCGCTCCCCGGCCGTGCTCGCCGCCGGGGGGGGGGCAGCCCCTTGCATGAGGCCGGAGCGCGCCGAAGCCCCTTCCCTGGCTGCTCATTTTCTCCCTCTCTTTCCCTCCCTGGCTCTACCTCTGGCTCCTTGTGGCACCAGGCCGGCCAAACCAAGCGTGGGTGCCCCCAGGGCAATCCCTACAAGCGTGGGCATCAACACCCTGCTGACGCAGGGCCAGGAGCAAAGCAAGACCTGGAAGGCTCCTGGCAGTGAGGTGTCAGAGGGGGCTGGCTCCTAGGCAAAGGCCCTCTCCAAGCAGGCGCTCCTTTTCCACCGGTGGCTCTCTCTGTGCATGGCACTAGCCTGTTCTCTCCTCCAGCCCCAGAGGAAATCCTGCCTCCTCCTCTTAACTCTGCCAGGCTACACGGAGCGATACGCCAGTCCCCGGCCCTGAGCACAGCGGGGTGGAAGCTGCTCTCTGCACACTCCACAACGAGCTCCAGGGGAGGAGGGAGCTGGCAGGTGCCGGGATACCTTGGACGCGTTCGATAGACGCAGGCCTGGCAGGTCCCACGGGCGAGAGCTGCAGGTTCCCTGGGCAAGCAGCAGGAAAAGAGGAAGAAGAGCAGACACGTAAATAGTGTATGCACACATGCACTCAGCCTCGGGGACAGTGCTGCCTGCAGGATCGCCTCCACTCCCTGAAGTCCCCCAAAAAACCTACGGAGAAGATGCTGCATGCTGCAGGTTTGGCTTTATCAACCTCTTCCATTAACGCTGCCTCTCTCAGCACAGGCGTGACAGCCAGCTTGGCACGGCCCTTCCCTCACTCACCGCGTGGACGTGCAGGGCAGGAGGACGTCCTGCCAAAGGAATCGGCATTCTGCGGGGCCACGCTGCGCCCCACGACGCGCGGCCAGCCAGCTTCTGCCCCTGCCCGCAGCTTCCCGCGGCACTCCCCGTGCCAGCTTTCCGTCTGCTTTCCGAAACCTTCCGGGTGGCAAGAACTACTGGGTTGCTCTCGGGAAGGCAGTGCCCACCCCGAAGAAAATGAGAGTCGGCTGCCGCTAAGTAGCTAAGACCAGAGGATCTCAGAACAGGTTTGCCACGTTCCTGAAACAAGGCCTACGAGACAAGTCCAGGCAATAGGGGTGTCAACTGCCTGCGTGCGTTACTACTGGGAGAACAGGAATGCCTTGGTTGTGCTAACCCCGGCACATGGCTTGACGGGGCAGCCATGCAACGTGTGAACCGTAAGGAATCCGGCTCCGGGGCTGGGCCGTACAGACCGTGCCTGCAGAGGGAAAGCCATGCCATCACTCACCGGGAAATTCCCTGCCAAGCCTCGCACTCACTGTCGCAAGCAAAAGCGAAGGCCCAGCTCCCTCTGCCGGGCACGGCACAGGGAGCACTGGGAGACGCGAGCAGACGCAGCGGCAGGACAAGCTGCTTCCCAGCACCCGGGCAGCAAAGGAGCAGGACAGAGACCAGAGAAGAGCAAGCTCTGCCTGCCCGCGCAAGCACAGGGACAGACACGGGCTCACAGAGAGATGGAAAACACACGCACGGCCCGCTCGGCAGGGCTCTGCGGGGACTGGCAGCTCTCCTGGCTTCCAGGGCACGCCTGCACAACGCGGCGCAAGAACAAGCTGGGAGCGAAGCGGTGCGTGGGCTGGGGCCCTGGAAGCGGGAGAGCTGCTACCACAGCCTTGCGCCTAAGCGAACAAACCCGGGCGCAGCCCAGGGCTGCGGGAGCTGCCCTGGGTCCAGGGACAGCAAGGCTGCAGGCAGCTGGTAGGGGGTCTCGGCGCGGCACGGCTCAGCACCCGCGGCCGGCGCGAGGCTCACGGGACACGCAGCACTAACTCCTGTCTGTTTTACCTTGTCCGCGCTCCAAGGGGACAGGCCCTCCGCCCGGCATCCCAACCTGCGGCTGCATCCCACCTGAGAGGGAACGGGCAGAGATCAGATCCCTCCTCAGCCATCCCTGCACCACGAACCGATTTCTTCTACCCCAAAACACCTCCCCCCCGCTCTCCCAGCTCCTGAGAGAGCATCTGGAGGTTTGTTTTTGTGGTGTGGGCCCCCCCCAGAGAAAATTCAACTTTCTGGACCGCTGCTGGCAGCGGCCACAACCACAACATACAGCGTGGGACTACATGTGCTCGCACGGGGCCAAGCCCTCTGGTTAAGGAGAAGGTAGAGGGGGGGCTGTCTGCCAGAACCCGGGACACCGTTTAGCCGAAAGCCACGCACTCACCTCCTGGAGCCATGGGGCCGGGGCCTGGGCCCTGCACAGGGGCTGCCATCTGTCCCGGGGCCGGCACTCCTCCCTGCATGGGCGGCTGCATCAGAGGAGGAGCACCATTTACGTGCATCCCACCCTACCCAGGAGAGAAACCGGACCTGAGGGAAGCCCCGTCACCCAGGCACGCATGCCCCAGCTGGGGGGGCTGGAGCTGGCAATGCCCATCTCTCCCCGCACAGCACGTGCATCACGTAAGCTCTTACTATGGGCTGTGGCTGGGACGAAGGGGTATTCTGCGGGTTCAGTTGGGCATTTGGCCCCGGCCCAGGCCCTGGTCCGGGTCCCGGCCCCGGCACTGGCTGCTGGTTGCCTGGGATCAGAGGAGGAACGCTGGTCTGGCGGTGCAGGATTTTCTACGGGCAGAAGAAAGGGAAAGGCGTTTCCTTCCACCCCGACTCCGCAACAGGCTGCCACCGATATCACACCGACCCCAGACGAGGCAGCAAGGGACAAACCAAAGCGATCTCCGGGTCGACGATCCTCATGACCACCTGGGCCTGCAGCAGGGCGTAAGCCAGCTGGGGGTTCTGGAGCAGCATGTTCCTGGCTTCCTGGGGGCTGTTCTGGACACACAACTGAGAAGACACACGCAGATCAGAGCGCTGGCAAGGCGTGATGGGGGCTGCGAGGGCACGGGCAGCGGTGGTAGAAGCTGTGCTCACGCAGAGTGTCGCCCACTCTGCTTCACTCACCTTCATCTGCTTCATCAGCTCAAACATCTGCTCGGGCGGCAGGCTGGCTACTGCCCGGCTGATGGACTCGGGGGCATCTTCGGGATTGACAGGGTCCCCGTAAGGTGACTCTATGATGGGTGCACCTGTGCCCAGGCCTGCAACAGAGTTTGTGACCTCGTACGGCAACATGAACGGGCCGTTTTTAACGGGCTACTCGGGAAGGAAGCACCACGCCATTATGGGGAAGGGGAGGCAGCGAGAACAGGGAGATCCTCTGGGAGAAAAAACACAGAGCTGAGCCCACGCATCCCTCTGCAAAGCTATGTGCTATGTCGCTTAGAGCGGGTTGGCTCCCTGAGATCTCCACCTCACCGGCCTCGACGAAGAGGCACCCTTTGTAACGCTGAAAAGGCCGGGCCCAGGACAACGCCAGCGCGCTCCCCACTACAAAATTCCAACTCACTCTTTAGCTCCTCCTTGTTCTTCTCACTGGCCGCGTTGTCGACCCGCAGGGCCCTCCCGCTGAACTCTCGCCCGTTCAGGTTCCGCATGGCACTGAGGGCCGTCTCCTGGTCTTGGTACTCACAGAAGCCATAGCCCTTCGGCTTCCCTGTCTCGCGGTCATACACCAGCCTGCGCCGCGAGGAGAGAACCAACCGCCGCTGAGCGCAGCGCCCGCAGCTCCCCATCGCTCGGGAGGGGGCTGTTTGTTGGGGTACACCACGCAGGAGTGTCGGGGAGCAGAGAAGGCATGCAACAGCCGGAGCCAAAGGGCGTCCTGGATCTTGGACGTTCCCAAAGCTCCGGTGTCCAGGAAGGGCCATCAGCGCAAGAGCTGCGCTTCCCACGACCCCGCGAAGGCAACTCCCAGGGAGGGGGCACGGGGCTGGACCGGCTGCTTCTGGCGCTCCCACACTCATCACTGGGAGATGTCCGAAGAGTTACTGGCCCCAGCTCCGCGCCGCGGCACGGCGGCGTGCCCACGGGTGCTCTGCATCTCCAGGGGACCTCGGCGCAGCCCCTCGGCTCCTGCAGCCCAAGCAGAGCTGCCACAGCCCCCCCCAACCCCCACTGCTCCTGCCCGGGAGGCTGGCTCTGCACAGCATCCCGCCGACCCCGCCACGCCACCCGTGGGGCTCGGGGGGAGACCCGCCCACGCCGCCCGGGAGAGCGGGGAAGGGGAAGCCGGGGGGCGTTTCTCACCTAAAGCTGACCACAGGCCCGACCTCGGAGAAAATGTCCTTCAGCTGCTCCTCCGTGGCTTCGTACGGGATGTTCCCCACTGTGGAAGAGGGACGGCGGCCGCTCCGTCAGCCGAGGGCTGCGCGGATCCCGACCCCCCCCCCCCACCCCCCCCCGCGGCGCTCACCGAACACGGAGCGCAAGGAGCGGTCCACGGCGGGGTCCCGCACCGACAGCCCCGCCATCCCGCCGCCCGGGCCCGGCCGCCGCTTCCGTTCCCTCGCCCCGCACCGTCCCCGCCCCCCCTCCCCGCTTCCGCTTCCGCTTCCGCTTCCGCCCGCAGCAAACATGGCGGCGGCGCGGCCGGGGAAAGCGCTCCGGGGGGAAATGGGGGGCGGCTCCTGCGCCCGGTGAGAGCGGGGAGCGGAGCGGAGCGGAGCGGAGCGGGGGTCTGGGTGTCTGGGGAGCCCTCCTGGGGACAGCTGGCCGCGGGGTGCCGGCCCCCGGCGCATGGCCGCGGCCTCAGGGGTGCAGTCCCCCAGGTATCCCACCCCCCACACCCGGGCACCCCGCTCCTAGGGTACCCCATCCCCGGGCACCCCATCCCCGGGCACCCCATCCTCCTAAACCTCCGGGGTACCCCATCCCCGGGCACCCCATCCCCGGGCACCCCATCCTCCTAAACCTCCGGGGTACCCCATCCCCTAGGGCACCCCATCCCCGGGCACCCCATCCTCCTAAACCTCCAGGGTACCCCATCCTCCTAAACCTCTGGGGTACCCCATCCCCTAGGGCACCCCATCCTCCTAAACCTCCGGGGTACCCCATCCCCGGGCACCCCATCCTCCTAAACCTCTGGGGTACCCCATCCCCTAGGGCACCCCATCCTCCTAAACCTCCGGGGTACCCCATCTCCAGGCACCCCATCCTCCTAAACCTCTAGAGTATCCCATCCCCTAGGGCACCCTATCCCCGGGCACCCCATCCTCCTAAACCTTCGGGGTACCCCATCCCCTGTGACACCCCATCCCCAGCATACCCCACCACTCAGGCACCCCCACACCCCGGGCACCCCATCCCCAGGGGTATCCCACCCCCCTTCTGTGGAGCACCCCATCTCCTGGGACACCTCCCCCAGGCACCCCATCCCCAGTCACCCCAGGGCAGGTGCAGCTGGGGCTCCAGTGCCCCCAGCATAGCCGTGCCAGTGCCCCCCACCAGCCCCCCTCCCCCGCTGTCCCTTGTGAGCCTGATACCCTGTGCCTGTCTGGCAGGCAGCCGTGTCCCTGCCGGCTGGTGACGTCCCTCCATCCTGGGGCTTGGCAGGATGGAGGCCAGGGATGTCCCCGTCCCCATCCCTGCGCTGGCCACGGAGCTGCCCTTTGCCCAGCGCCTCAGGTGAGCCTGCAAAGGGGAAGGGGGTGCAGGCAGAGTTGGCAGGGAGGAGAGCTCGCAGGGCCAGCCCTGCACCCCCGGGGGGGGGGTCTCTTCCCTGCAGTGGGGAGGGTCTGACCGTGCCTTGGCTTTGCAGGCAGCATTTGGAAGAGGAGCAGCTCCTGGACGGGCGCTACCGGCTGCAGGAGGTGCCGGGGGGCCGCGTGGCCCTGCCCGTGCTGGAGGAGAAGCTCTGCCAGCTGCGGCTGCCCCGGGAGATGCCCTACGAGCTGGTCCGGATCCAGGTTGGGAGAAACCCCACTTCCCTGAGTCCCACTGTGGGGCGAGGAGGGTTCTCAGCCCCATGTGCCACATCCCTCCTGCAGGACCCCGTCCCCTCCAGGGCAGCCCGCCGGCAGACACCCGCCCAGAAGCTGCGGGACGAGCTGCGGCGGCTGCTGGGTGAGAGCTGGTCGGAGGAGCTGGAGCGTGACGTGCCCCGCGCCTGGCAGCGCCATGGGGACATGGTCCTGCTGAGCCAGGACAGCTTCAGGGCCGCGCCGTGGGAGAAGCTGGGTAAGGGGGGAACAGGGTCTGCCTGCCCAGATCCTGCCCGTAGAGCTGCCCCGGCCTTTCCCAAAACTCCTGGGCTGGGTGCGCTGCAGGTCCGGCACTCTGGGAGACGGTCGCCTCAGCTCTGGGTGCCCGGCGGCTGGCCAGGCGAGGACGGGTGTTGCCAGATTGGATGCGGTCCCCCAGTGTCACCCTGCTGCTGGGCCAGGACGGCTGGGTGGAGCACGTGGACAACGGGATCAGGTAGGCAGGAGCCACGGCGCAGGATGCGGCCGGTGCGGGGAAGGGGCCGCCCCTCACCAGCCTGGCTGTGTCTCCCAGGTACACGTTCGACGTGACCAAGTGCATGTTCTCACCGGGCAACATCACGGAGAAGCTGCGGGTGGCCTCACTGCCCTGCTCCGGGGAGGTCCTAGTGGATCTCTACGCAGGTAACGGGCAAGGTGGAGTGTTTGGCAGGGCGGGCTCGCGGAGGCAGGCAGGCAGGGAGCAGTGATGCAAGTACTGATGCCATCCAGGTGGATGTGAAGCACCATTTCCAGCCTGGACTGGAAAAATACCCAGGCTTAGAGATCCTGTCCTGTCTGCGAGCCCTCAGCTAACCTGGCACTGCTGTGTCCCTGTTGCCTTTGGACACTTAGGATGATCTCGCACTCAGGCTCTGCAGAGCACTGCTCTGTGCCTTGCGCTCGTCATGGGAATCATTTGGATCCAGGGGAAGGATTTGCCCTCAGTATCGTTTCTGAAAAGCTCCCATAGGTGTCCTGATGCACTTTCAGGACAAGCTGGCACTAACTGAAGTGTCCTGTGCTGTGAGATGACTGGGGAGATCACATCAAGCGTTTGCATGTCAAGAGAGTTGCTGTTTCATGCTTAGGGAGGTGAATGCTGACAATTTGTGTCACGCAGAAAGGATGTGGCACTCACAAAACTGCTCTGGACTAATTAAAATAGATGGTAGTCTGGGCAATTCTGCACAGAGTGGAAGCGAGGCGGGGCAGGACAGGTCTCAAGCTAATGACCAAGGACTGAAGGTAAAATAAGCATCTCTGTAAACATTTTTCAAGACAAATTCTGCTTTCACAGAGGAGAGAGGGATGACTTTCCATTTTCCCAGCATTTGGGCTTGTTCCAACCTGGAGCAAAGCAGATTCAGAGAGCCGAGGTGGCAGTCTGCATCCTGTCCTGCCTCCGGGGAGGAACGTGGACCCCCGGCGGTGCCCGGACCCTGTTCTCAGCCACTGCCACCTCCTGCCCCCAGGCATCGGCTATTTCACACTGCCGTACCTGGTTCACGGGGAGGCCGCCTTCGCCCACGCCTGCGAGTGGAACGGCCACGCCGTGGAGGCCCTGCAGAGGAACCTGGTGCTGAACGGCGTGCAGGACCGCTGCCGTGTCCACCCCGGGGACAGCCGGCAGGTAAGCGGTGCTGCCCAGGCGCAGACCACCCCCCCATCCCCACCTTGCAGCCCCCTCCTCACTGCCCCTCCCCTTCCAGCTGGAGCTGCGGGACGTAGCGGACCGGGTGAACCTGGGGCTGATTCCCAGCTCGGAGGAAGGCTGGCCGGTGGCCTGCCGTGTCCTGAAGAAGAGCACGGGTGGGGTTCTCCACATCCACCACAACGTGGAGACTCCCCCCGCGCCGACCCCGCTCCCGCGGGCTGAGCGGGGCTCTCCAGAGGCAGCCGGCCCTGACGGAGAGGCACAGCACCCCACGGAGGGCAGTGGGAAGGAGACACCGGGGGGCAGGATCAGACCGGAGTGGCGGAGGTGGGCTGAAGCCACGGCGGCACGGATCCGGGGGCTGCTGGCAGAGCTGCACGGGCAGCCGTGGCGCACCAGCATCCTGCACATCGAGGCAGTGAAGTCCTACGCACCCCACGTGCATCACCTCGTGCTGGACCTTGAATGCCGGCCGGCGCTGCCCGCCTAGCTGGCCATGGGCCCCAGCCCTGCTCCAACTTGCCCGAAATTCTGGCATTGGAGCATCCGTGGCCAGGAGATGCTACCGCTGCCAGCCTCGGATGCACTTTATGTCCCCTCGTTCCCAGCACAGCCCAGCAGTGCCTCCCAGTGCCCAGGGCACTGAGGGATGCGCTCCCATGGGAGCGGGAGATCCCTCCGGGAGCTGCATCCTGACCGAGGATGGGGTGAGCTGGAGCTGAGAGCACCACGTGGCGGCACTTGGCGCCCCATTTTCACACAGGAGAGAGCCACGGGGCTGAATAAACCTTGGATTCCTGCCAGGCTTCGTTTCAGCGAGTCAGGGACAGGCTTTGTCCTTATGTTTACCAGCTTTTTTTACTGGAAACTGGTCTGTTCATCTTGGTTTCTTCTCAGCTTTTTGCAGAAATAATCGTGTTCCCCACCAGTCTGGTTGGCGTCCAGTTAAAATGCGAGCAGCGGTGCAAGCGTGGGGGATCTGGCCTGGGGCGTGGAGGGGCTCGGGGACCAGAGCCTCTGCCTGTGTCCTCTGTCTCTTGTTCTCCCCACAAGCCCAAGGCCCCCTTGCTTGAGCGTTGCGTGTGTACCCGTGCTGCGGAGACCCCCCAGCCCGGGGAGGGAGCTCCCCCTGGCCCGTGGGTGGTACCCCTAGGTCCCCGTGGGTTTTTCCCAGTGTAGGTGTCCCGCCGAGCCGGGAACCTCTGGCTCTCCCTGTCCAGTGGCGGGGAGCCACGGGGCGCAGCCACAAGCGTGGGCAGAGCCGCGTCCTGGCGTTCGCTTTGGGGCTGCTCCCAGCCGGCCTCCCACGCCGTCCTGCGTGGCGAGAAGCTGCTTCCCCGCGGGCGTGCGCCCCACGCCTCGTCCTGACGCGTGTGCTCACCGTTTCCGTGTTTCCCGGTGCTGCTGTGGGCAGCAGCCCAGCCGGGGCCGTATCTCTGCCCACGAAGGACAAGGGCAGAGGCTGGAGCCTTGCGGTGGGGCCGTCTTCTGCTGCGGGCAGAGCCGGGAGGGCACTGCGGCCGGGCTGCTTTCGTCTCAGCCCGTCACCCCCCCCCCCCCGCCGTGCTGGGCCCCCCAGGGACCCCGGGAGGGCACCCCCCCAGCAGTTCGGGCGGCTGGAGACTTTGTGCCGGTGGGTGTGTGCTCTTTGGGAGGAGCTGCCTTCCCAGCCAGGGCTGCGGGGGAACACGGCGGCGGAGCAGCCCGGGGAGCCGGGGCACAGCTCTCAGCCGTGCTGGGGGGGGGGGGGGGGGGGGGGGAGAACATCCCGTGGGGCGGGGAGGGGGGGGGCCGGGAGCTCCGGGGGAAGGGGCTGTCCTTTTGGACGGGGCGGGAACCGCCGGGCCGGGCCGCCCCGTCGGTGCTGCAGGTGCGGCGGGAGCGGCCTCTTTAAGGAGGCGGCACCGCCCCCCCCCACTCTCCCCCCCCCCCCGCCCCGTTTTCCTCTTTGCTGCCGGCAGGCGCCGGCCGGAGCCGCTGCAGGTACCGAGTGGGGCGGGGGGGGGGGGCCGGTCAGGCGGGGGGCTACCGGCGTGGCTCTGCCCCGGTGGCCCTGGATCCCCTTCGGCAGAGGAGAGCCCGGGGTCCGGCCCCCGCGCTCCCTCCCCTCTTCCCGGGGCGCGGTGCGGCTGCGGGGCCGGGAAGGTCCCTCCCGCTGGGGTGAGGAGCGGGCGGGGGGGGGGGAGTTGCAGACCCCCGAAGTGGGGGGGGCTCCGGGAGCGCGGCTCTGCCCGGGGACCGGCTGTCAGCGCCCGCGGGCCGGATCCTGCTCCCGGTGGGACACACACACAACTTTCCGAGGGGTGCGTCTGTGGGTGCAGCAGCCCGGGGCAGCTCCTTCCTCCCCGGGGGGGGGGGGGGTGGGGGTGCTGGGCGTCGTCCCCGGTCCCACGGAGCCGGCTGAGGTCACCGGGGCTGGCAGGCGGCCCGCAGCAGCGCCGGGCCCCGGGCAGGGCCGCCGAGGGGGCGGGCGCGCTGGGTGGGTGCGGTGTTTTGGGTGCGGTGATGCGGGGATGGAGCGAGCGGGGGGGGGGGGTGGGGGGCAGCCCGTCCGGCCCCGGGGTGCGGGCATGGGGCACCCAGCAAAGCTGGGCTGAGCGGCTGGCTTGCTCCTAGCACGGATGCGCCCGGCTACTTCTGGCGAGGGCGAGCCAGCCCGGGCGGGAGCGATGTCGGAGGCCGTGGATCTGTCCTTCCTGTCGGACGCGGAGAGGGAGTTGATCCTGCAGGTCTTGCAGCGGGACGAAGAGCTCCGCAAAGCAGAGGAGAGGAGAATCAGGTGAGGATGCGGCCGGGAAAGGGCAGGGGGCTGGTTTCCCCGCTTTGCTCTACAAAGGGGTGGGGGCGATGGGGCTGGTGGTTCAAACCCGGCGTGTTTTGACGGCTCCCGGGGGTTGGGGGTCTGAGCAGGCGCCTGAAGAACGAGCTGCTGGAGATCCGGCGCAGGGGGGCCAAGCGGGGCAGCCAGCGCTACAGCGAGCGGACGTGCGCCCGCTGCCAGCAGAGCCTGGGCCGCATCAGCCCCAAGGCCAACACCTGCCGGGGCTGCAACCACTTGGTGTGCCGGGATTGCCGCTCCTACGGCCCCAACAGCTCCTGGCGCTGCAAAGTCTGCACCAAGGAGGCGTGAGTACCCCAAGGACAAGTGGCAGGGAGCTTCTGCGCGCTGCTTGTGTCCCCTTCCTCTTCCCAGTCACCCCAGCTTGATGCCCCATGGCCAACCTTTCCTAGCCCAGCTGGCCTTCTCCAGTGCAGGGCAGCTGTGTCTGCTGTCACTTCCCGGGGTGGGCACCCATGGTTAGGGATAGGGAACTGGGTCGTGCCCCACTCTTGGGCCCGCCCCACAACTTTTCCCCCCTTACTTGACCCCGGCATCCCTCCATGGCCCCCCCGTGCAGCCTGTGTTTCAAGCACCCCAGGTTTCTTCCCTCTCAGCCTCCCTTGCCCTACAAGCCTCGTCTTGCTCCCGTGTTTGCCGTGGATGTAGCTGGGCCCGTCGTCTGCCCAGCCATCTGCTGAACGTGCCCACTGTGTCCGTGCTCTCCTTGGCTGTGGCAGCACCAAGGGTGGCATTGGGGTGTGGGGAGCAGCCCCCCCTGAGTGCCCCCCACTGCCCCCCGTGCCCTGCAGCGAGCTGAAGAAGACGACGGGCGACTGGTTCTATGACCAGAGGGTCAACCGCTTTGCCAACCGGCTGGGCAGCGACATGGTGCGGCTGTCCCTGCGGCACAGGCCGGCAGGTAGGGTTGCTGCAGCGATGCCTTTTCCCCCAGCCGGGCCCTCCGGGATGCTCCAGCTTTCCCTGGCACGCCTCCACCCAGGGTGGGGTTGGCTGGGAGCAGCTCCTGCTCCAGGCAGTAGGCTTGGGGCAGTGGTCCTCCTGATGCCTCTTTCCTTCCAGCCAGCAAAAGAGAGACCGTGGGACAAACCCTCCTTCAGAAAGCCCAGCTTGGCGAGCCCAAAAGCTCCTCTGCAGCCAGGCAGCAGAGCCCCCCAGCACCCCGGGAGGGGCCCAGGTGAGGATCCCTGCTGTCTCCCCTGTTCTGGGTGCTAGCTCTTGCCTGCTGCAGGGACGGGAGGGATGCTGCCACCCTGCTTGGAACATTGGTGGCGCAGAAGCTCTCTCTCTCAGACTGGCTTCCTCGCCAAACAGGACATACCTGTGGTTTTGTTTGTCTGCAGTTTGTTTCTGGATGCCTCAGACCCTCGGGATGGCAAAAGCGACACAGAGTCCATGGAAAACATGAGCCTGGATGGCTACAAACCTAGTGCCGGTGGTGTGGGGGGCAGGTGAGGGGCTCCCTGGGTGGCTTGTCCTTGGCAAGGCTGGCCTGGCAGGGGATGAGGACTTGCGTCTCAAGTGCTTTTTTCTTGGTCTAGTGCAGGGGAGCTGGCTCCTCTGGCTGGGCTGAAACCTGTCCCCGGGCAGGCAGGTCCTCTGCTCCCAGGCTGGGGTGCTCCAGGGAGCTTGTGGGGAGACGGCGCTTCCCAGCCAGTGCTTGCTCTCCCAGTTGTGCCCTTGGCCTGGGACAGACCTTTCTGTGTCGTCCGCAGGAGTAACTCCCTGGAGAGAGCTGCCCCTCGCACTGGTGGAAAACAGGTTGATGCGCCAGCAGGATCTGCTGCCTCCAGCCTGACCCTCCCTCTCCGCTCCAAAAACGCGTTCTCCGATGGACGGGTGCGTGCCGCTGCATCGGCAGGCTTGGCCCTGTCCTAGGGCACAGGGTTGGGGAGCCCCGGGGGGTACCCAGCCCTGCCCTGCTCTGAAGGGACCTTTCCTCCCCAGGATGCTGCCGTGGGGAGCTGCAGCAGTGCCTTGGTGGACGAACATGAAACACTATTCAAGAAGAATCCCCGGCGGGTGCTGAGGCCTGCGGGTGAGAGCTGCGTGGGTGCAGGGGGGGTTTGGGTGCTGTCATGGGGAGGGGGTGGCCGCTTCTCCCTGCGCTGTGGTGGGCTTTTGGTGTGGATGGGAGAGGCTGGGGCAGCCCCTTGAGGGAGCAGCTGCTCCTGCGCCGTGCTCCTGCCTTCTGCCTCACCATCTTTCCTGCAGACTACACCAAGTCGGTGATTGACCTGCGCCCCGAGGACTTTGTGGGGGAAAGCAGCTCTTTGGGGGACAGGAGCAAGTCGGTCCCCGGCCTCAACACGGAGCTGGTGAGACCCTCGGCGTGCCGCGGAGCCGGCTGCCTGCCTGGCTGTGCCCTGCCCTCCCCACGCAGGTTTGTCTCTCTCCTTGCAGGAGGAAGAGGAGGAGGACATCGATAACCTGGTGGAGATCCATCGCCAGAGGGTGGCCCGGGGCAGCATGCGCAGCGGCACCTCCTCGGTGAGTCCTGGCCACGCTCTGCTCCGCTGCAGGAAGAAATGACGGAGGAGGGCAGCGCCGACAGGTTGGGTGGCGGGGAGGCAGGGTGGGCAGCTCCTGGGGTGCGTGGGTAAGAGCTTGGGGGGTGGGGGCTTCCTCCCCTTGGAGGGAATGGAAATGCAGAGACCCAGCTCTCTTCCAGAGAGCCTGTGTGGGGGTGGGAGGCACTCAGTGGCCATCCCCAGCCACCGAGGGGCTTGCGGAGGAGGCATGGGGAGTAGCCTTGCTGAGGATGAAGAGGGGACCATCAAGAGATGTTGCCCTGGCTCAGCCCTGCCGTGTTCTCCAGAGCACGCTGGGGAGCATGGTCAGCATTTACAGCGAGGCCGGCGACTTTGGCAACGTCGCGGTCACCGGGGGAATCTCCTTCTCCCTGAGCTACGAGCAGAAGACGCAGACCTTGTTCATTCATGTGAAGGAGTGTCGCCAGCTGGCTTACGGGGACGAGGCCAAGAAGCGCTCCAACCCGTGAGAGCTGGGGGGGGGGGCGGGTTGTGTGTGTGTGATGGCTGGTGGCACTGCTGGTGGTGCTCAGCTGGGTTGTGGGGTGCCCACCAGAG